CACACACAAAAACAGGGGGGTGTGGGATGTGGAATAAAGGCTGGAGGCTCCCGAGGCGGGCGGCCGGGAAGGCAGCCCCGGGTGTGTGCGGCCGCGCCAGGCCAGCAGATGGTGGTGCGAGAGCTGTTATTTAAATACATGCTTTTTCCCGTGGTTATGCCTCTTGATTTACTTCGGGAAGCTTGAAAAATATGAACTATGTAAATACATATTTAGCATGTATGACATTTATAGTATGGTTTCTGTGTATTGTCTGTCACGTTGACTGTATTAACAGGCCATAAAACCCAGCTCAAGAACTGAATCTCCCATCAGAACTAATCCTGTAACTTCTATTTACTGCCTATAGCATTCAGGTAGAACCGAGGATAAAACAGCGCTCCAGGGATACAGAACAATCTTTTTTCCTTATTACTTATTCTTACAAAGAAGAAAAATGTGTACCTTTGAGGACATGTTAATTGCAGAACACTGAAACAAATCCACAAGCACCAGTTACAGAAATTACACTCAAATAAACTGTATTTATACTAGAAAGCAAATAATTCTTTGCAAAATTAAGATAGCTGTCTGGAAAGCTCAGTTCCAAAGAGTGACTGCAATGATCATTTGGGTATAAGCCAGGACAGGCTAGTTACTCACACTGATCCACAGCATGAGATTTCCCCTGTGGATCTCAGCCTATCGAAATAAACTGAAAAAAATAAAAGCCTGGTGCAAAAAATCCTCACAGAGACCACCTATGCTACATGGCTGTACTGCAGGTTCTACTGTTGCACTTAATCCCACTGCTAATAAATTTTAAATAATTAAACTCATGTTCTCAGCAGTTTCAATTTATGTCTCTGTGTATCACAGCTACCAGGCCCTCTGGGCCCGGCCATATCTCCCTACAGCAGTGACCTTCAGCTGATACCAGCCCGCAGCCCCGAGCTGTATGCTGTAAAACTCTCCTCATACTTCCTGCTAGACCTCAATGCTGAAGATTTGTTAGTGTTGGCAACAGCCTGGGAGCTGCTCTTGTGCAATGCTTTATTGTGTTTGTCTCCATTTTTCCACCAGCCTTGCTAAAATAATTCCTTCTGTAACTTCATCACATGTGCTTTAAGGTTCCTAACTGATCTTCTCTTGCCCACATGGCTGTGGGGCGTCCTCCTTTTCAGTCACGTCCACAGACAGGACAATTCCAGGAGGAAGAATTCCTGTCTTCCTTCCCCTCTTCGAAAAAGATCTAGGAAGCTCCCAGAACTTCCCTGGCAGAAGAGGGGGAAGGGCTGCACGATGCCGAGCCACAGCTTTGGCCCACTCTGCCTCATCCATCACTTCCTAGAAGCACAACGCTATTAAAACAATAGCAGGGACTCCGTCCAACTCCAGTCGCTCCCGGGAAGGATTACAAAAAGAGCCAGCAGAGCATGTAACAGCGTTTTCAATAGCAGCCTGCCTCACTCCTACACCTCCAGGCGTACGTCGTCCCCAAGGGCCCTCTCTCATCTCAGAGGGCACGTGACAAGATCTGAAAACCTTCAAGATCATCTTCTGCATGGCAGGCAAGAAATGGACATGTGGAAGATGGCTCCTCTTAGGGACATGGGTGGAAAGGAAAGGGTCAGGAGGAGTGGATGAACAAAACAGCAGCCTGGCACATGCAATTTGACAATTTCCTTTCTAGTGTCTAGTTTGCAACCCCATAAACACACTAACTAGCTTTTTCCAAACAAGGCAATTCACATGTAACTAATCACTAGTTATTTAGATTAAAGGGCTGCTGGATTGGGCTAAAATACTGACAATTAGAACAATACAAAGATTAGTAGCACTGACCAACCCATTCAACCTTTTGGTTTCACTTTATTAACAAACATCTGTATTGCAAGACCAAATACATATTGATATAAGGAAAGCTAAGCAAATATTCTCAGTTTAATCACTCTAAGCTCAGAATTCATATATGTTCTATAAAGTCTTTAAGTCACAGTATCTAAGATGACCTTAATTTACATTGGGCTGTTGCAAAATTAATGCATTATCCTGATGCATCCTCAGTTAATCCTTGGTACTTAAATGGAATTTGGCATTTGATTAGTGTTATTTGGATTAACATAACACAAAGTGTTCCAAGAGATGATTAAAACTTTGCACTCGTGTTAAGAAATAGATGTTAAAATTCCAAGCAATGTACTTGAAATATTTTTTTTAAACATTTTAAATTCCAAATTTGACCAACCAGTGCTTCCCTGGAGCTGCAGAACAATTTATTTTTTCCCCCTTTGGGTATCCTGCTAGCAAAAATTCAACTCCCCCATCTACACAAATCCATAAGCATATGCAATTAGGATATCAAATTCAAATTTGCACTTTAAAGACTCTTCTTAAAAAAAACACAAGATGACAAACTGTAAAGCACAACTATATTAAAATTATTACTAAAAAGCTCTCTCCACCCCAAATGAATGTGAATCACTTACGCACTTAAATTATTTTTAGAAGTGATCAGACCAAACTTTAAAAAAGCCCAGACTAGATGCTGATAATGGCAATAACCCAAGTAAAGTTGCTTATTTTAATCACAAACCATCATTCATTATCTCATGCTCTCCAATCACTTTTGAAATAAGATACTGCATGATGCAATATATGCAGGACTGATAATGGAGTAACAGAAAACAATGTTATTTTTAGCCTTGCTCTGAAATTAAAGATGTTGAAAGAGCCTGGACATCTGCCCAACAGGCACAGTGCTGCTGGTTCCTTCAAACAGACAGAAAAGCAGAAAGAGGGGAACATCTACCAAACCACACCAAGGGCAGAACCCAAGTTTTACACTTAATTCCAGCATGGTTCCCATTCAGGACAAACTATGCTCCACAATTTCACCACTCCCATGTAAAATCTGCAGAAGGACCAGAAAGATAAAATGCAAAGAAAGAAAATAATTTTTCTTGGAGAGTCAAGGTTCTGTGAGAGGTAAAGAGAACTCTTCACTGCTTTTTTTTTTTTTTTTTTTTTTTTTTTAAGAGCCTGTTAGCCTACAGTACAGTCATCTTCAAAGATGATTCCTGACACAGTGCTGCTCTGCTGACTTGGACTGCAGCATCACAGGACTCTGCCAAAGGCAGTTGTTAAGGAGAGAAATAACACAGCTGGGAGCTCTGTTCCCAAACAGAAATCTAAATACTAAACAGAAGCTGTGATAGCTCCTTGCAATGACACTACAATACATCTTCTGTATGGCAGAAGCTGACAAGGAGGCCCAACTGGCAACCTGTGTTTTCACAGACCTCCCTTCCTCACAGACTGGGGCATGTTTAGGTACCACTAACAGATTCGGAGAAGGAAAGTCAGCTTTCTCTTTTCAGTGCACTTTAAGCTAAGGAATCTTTGCAAGCAAACATACTGGATGCATGAACCATCTCAATGGAAGATATTGCCCTTGCAACCAGAAGAACCAAAACAAACTTCTGAAAACTTTCATGAAGATGAGGTCATTAAAAATATTTGAAAGTGGAGTTTCAACTTGCAAAAGTCTACTTTTAACTAGTTAAACAGAAAACCACTGGTTGGCAAACCAGGCCTGACTTGTTGGCAGAGAAGGCCACTGCAGAAGGAGGAATAAGCAGTTCGATAATATCCAGCATGCACCAATTAGGGGCTCTACAGTTACTGAGCTGAATTTTATTAAAAATGACACAGAAAAGGTTATGAACTGCTATAAGGAAGAAATGAGAGTCGTATTTCCTTTGACCACAGAGTCTTGTACACAATCCCAGTCTGCAGAACCTGTACTGTGTAACCCTCCTTTCTCTAGTATTGTTGATTTAGAGGTCCACTCAAACAGGAAAGGAAATGAAAAAATTTGTTCATTACTACAGAACATCCTCTAAAACCTGTATGAATAAATAATCCTTAATCATGGAATTAATATGTTCATTCCTACCTTAAATTAATGCTTGGTTTTTATAACCATTTCAATTAGGCAGTTTTTATTACTGGAGCTTTTAGTGTAAGAAGAGATTCCAATTTTATAAAAGCAGTTACTCAGTCTAGTTCTAGGTCTCTACATAGTGACAAAACCCAGCAATCACTGAATTATCTGGACTCGACAGGTAATCCTAAAGGCAAGAACAGCAGCACTGGAATGCTGTTTCCTTCTGTCAATGTATGTGAACATGTATCTTCTTGGAGGTCAGGGAGAGAGAAGAGGGAACTTCCACATAATTCCCTCGTCTAAAAGAAATTATCTAAAACAATTACAGCCCCCAAAACTTAAAATTGTTCTGTTAAATAATGTCTACTTTCAGACAATTAATTTCTAAGGGCACTAGTTAGTAACTGTAAAATATTTGAACATACTGAGCAAGACTTTAACTGCTTAGGCGATTTTTTAAATACAAAGATACAAACATACTAGTGTTCTTTTATTATGTCATGCACCAAGGAAGGCAAAGTAAGACTAATGTAACTGGACAGCCCAGCATATGACAACATAGACTATCGGCCCACATGACTGACAAGTCAGCAAACTAAACACTACCCTCAAAGACCAAGGTATTGAGCTAACAAAGAGCTACCATTAATAATGAACATATGAAACTTCATGGCTAAGTAAACATTGTTACACAAATCACTAAAACACATAAGCAAGTTCCAACAGCAAAAGGCAAAACACATGATATGCTAAAATGTAGCTACCAGATGCAAATGTATGGAACACTGGAGAGGAGATTATGCTTCGTCAGCCCCTTCTAATTAGTCATGCCAGCTACAATGGATGTGCTCCACATCCTGTGATGCAGTATGAGACATACAATCCAACCTCCGTAAGTCCCCCCATCTACCCCACAACTAGCATGATCACATAAGCCTTTAAGTTTTCTCTTATTTTAATCAGTCCCTTAAGAACACTTTCATTTAATTACTGCCTTTGGTGTTTGTGGAGCTTTGTAGACTGTAGAGGTTATACTCCACTCAGTTAATATTGAGCATATGAAATTTCTTACCTCCAATATTCTGGATAATTATTGTAGTTGCAACAAGGACCTATAAAAAAAATTGATTTCTTTAGAAGAGTAAGGGTAACTAAAATCGTATGTCTACTGCAGTCATAAACCACATATGTATTATCTTAAACAGACCAGATGTAGAAGCGATAACTAGTACTGAAAGGAAAGGCATCTTCTCTTTCCTGAAGAGTTTAACACATGGAAACCAATGCAATCTAAAATGAATACAAAACCAAAAAAAATTTTACCTGAAAATCATTCACAGATTACAAAACAAGTGAAACCTGTTCTGCAGATTAAAAAAAAAAAAAAAAAAAAAAAAATCACTGAAAACATGTAAGCGCATTCTGATAGACATTGAGAGAGCTCAAATGAAAACAATCATTCACCTCTGAAAAGACAATCAGACAGCAGGGATTTATACAAGCTACTACCTCACTCCAAAAAACCTGAATATTTTTAACTGTCATGAATGTCATTATTCTTTTAAACTTGTAATCTAGATAGACTTTTCTTTAGTATTTGTGATTATTCATACTGGACTGATACAAAAATTGAAATAATCACAAACTATTATGTGTCTGAATCCAAAGAATTAGCTTCTAACTGAAATAAACCTAAAAGCATCTAAAGTTTTCCCAGTGTTTTCTTTTCCGATTACTTCGAAAAGAGTACAATCATCTAGTAGAGTTTTTCTTTTTACCCACTGCTGCTTTTGATGTAGCAGGACCTTCCCACGAGTGCTACCATTAAGTCAACTTGGAAAAAATTAAGTCACAGTTATAAGAATAAAACCAGATTTGTACTTTTGAATAAAATCTGAAAACAGAGTTGCCATTTTTTCAGTTGATCAGCTAGAAAATCATACCAAATTTTAAACAACTTCAAAGTCAGTTCAAAAGTCACCGGGTCAAAGGAAAAAAAAAAAAAAAGAAAAAAAGGATGGTATCTTGGAATTTGCCATAGATAGAAACAAATACTTCATGCCTTTGGAAAAGGAGAATCAGCATTTTTCCAGTAGCAGAAAATCTCCATTCTCACAAATCTCAGAAAAATATATTTGACAGGAAATCACTATAATGTTGAATAACTGCTCTACTTCAAAAGCAGTTAACCAGTAGTTTACTGCCAACCAAAGATGCCCATTCAAGTAAGATCCTACAGCAGTCTGTCTATACCATTGGCAAATGACTCAGGTGAGGGAAAAGTACTACTCTGAAGAAAAAAAAAAAAGCCACCTGTGCCTGACTGAAGAGCATAGTACCAGCCATGTTCTAGCTAACATATAGGTAATAATTGCATTTCTTGTCACTGTCAAGTTCTCAGCCAGCTTACCGTGTTCTGTTTTGCAGGCAAGTTTTAAGAAAGGTGTATAAATATTAAAGATACTTCAAGAGGGAAAGATAAGTGTTCCAGAAAACATCAGTTCATCAGGAAAGCTTGGAGAACTTTGGTTATTTATTGTACCAAAACAACAGCTTCCCAAGCTCGAAATATTCCACTGCTCTCCATGCATACTGAAATTACAAGACCAGATGATTTTTAGCCCAAATTATTTAAACTTAAAATTATGGAAAAGTATAGCAAGGAGAATAAAACAGCTACTGATGTTGACTACACAGTGAGGTTGTGAAATCTCCATTTAAGCTTTTAAAAAACAGATTAGACAAATATCTGCCATGATGTATGTTTCACCCTGCTTTCAGAGCAAAGGCATAATACATCACATTTTACTATCTCCTTAAGCTCTAACATTTCTACGACTTCTGCCTTTAATGGCTTGTGGTTAATGTGTACTGAACAGCTCCTATAAGAAATTAAAATTATTTCATACTTTGAGAACATCAAGGTTTATTATCTCTTGAGGTTGATCACATCTTAACTTTAATCAATAAATATTGATCCTCACACACTATGCTTATATCTGTTTATTAATGCTAATGGACGTCCTATCTAATAGCTCAGATTTAATTCCCAGTTACATTAAAACAGAAGAAATTAGACCCAAGTCTGTTAAGCAGAATACATTTTTTTTTAAATTTACATTGTTTCAGTAAATCATTAAAATCACACTTCTGAGTGGTAAAATCTGCTTTTAGTATCGTGTAACACAGAGCATCAAAGTCCTAACATTAAGTGTGCAGTATTCACAAGTAGTATCTCCTGTGCGCACAATATTAGGGGACAATGTTGTCTGTTAGGAGAAATGGATTCAGTACACATGACTAAAGACATGGCTTACATCTTTATTATGCTTATACCAAAAATGCTTAGTTTGCTGGTGGTTTTGGTATTTTGGGTTTTTTTTTTTTTAAATCATGAGATAAAACAACAAGAAACATTCATCTGAACACTTTATTAAAATAAAAAATTAACATGCATTAAACATACTCTTATTTGTTCTTACTGTGGAAACTACATGAAAGGCAAACACTTATCCTGGATCTCTATTAAATGCTAGAACACCAACAGTAAATCACTTACCTGTCTCTTAAAAGTTTACAGTAAAGGTACAACGGTCTGTTAACAAACCTGAAACTCATCTCTGAGCCAACCTGACAACAATGCCAGTGAGCATATATTTGTACGTACAACTAAAAAAAAAATTAACAACACTGACAAGAAAGTAGCACAAAAATCTTGCATTTACAGAACGTCTGTTTTACAGTTACCTAAAGTTAGGGCTTCCACAAACTAGACACACTAACTGAAATGTGACAAAAAGCTTCAGAATGTAATAGATTTTTCAGTATAACAGGACATCAATAATTATACTACTTGTTCCATTTCTATCTCTTTACTATGCAAAGGACAGTTGCTTATCGGAAGCATAAGACCAAGAAAAAAAATACACAGGTAGAAATACCTTTCCAGTTGATCCAAATGCAAACAGGCCAAGGTCTTCATAAGAAGTGACAGCTGTTAGTAAGGAAAAATAAAGCTAAAATATTTCTAACTTCAAAAATCACTCGAAAGCACGAGTTTAGCCTTTTTTCCCTTTTTAAATTAACATAATTCGGGACAGAATTTAAAAAGTATTTATAGTATTTCTTATTTACAAAATAGCTTTTATATACACTGGTACTCCTGCTACAAAATACAGCTGTGCTCAGCAAATCAGAGACTCTCCAGAAAAAATAAATTTAATATTAAAAATAGTAATATCTTTGAAATAATAATACATTAATGGAAAATTGCCATCTCTCAAATATTTTTTGAAGTGATACCATAGGTGCAGAATTCTGAAATTAGCCTCAACAATTAGATAAAAGATATTCCCATATTTTATTTATTAAAAGAGTACACTTTTTTTGAAATGAAGACAACAAACATAGAGGATCTATTCCTATGACTGCAAACATCAGTCAGCACCTTGCCAGCTTGTAAAAACTCGCACTATTTATTTTCAAGTGAACTGAAGGTAAACACTTTCCTTGGTCTAAATTTATTATTAAAACAACAAAACAAAACACACCAAAGCAAACCCAAAGCCAAAACAAAAATCCTGCCCTCACCTGCACCTGACTTACATAATCACATTAAAATAGCCTGTGGTTTCCTGTATGCTTTTGTTGAGTTTTAGCTGAAGCTCACTTCTAATATTGCTGGTAACTCAAACCAATCCCTTCTCAGAAAGAAGGAAGTCATATTAAAGTCTTTCATTGTTGCTCTGTATTTTGTTATTAGAAACTCAAGTGGTATCAAAAAGATGAAAGTTTTCTGAGAAATACCACTCACTTTCTCAGTATATAATAAAACAGTCCGCAGTTGTAAATGCCTCAAAGGGTAAAATTAATCTCAAACCCACATAATTTTATTGTTACACTTGCCTTCTCTCCCTTAGTTCTACTCGGTACACCGCTGCTTCTACTCCTGTCACATGTTAATTTAGGGCCTAGCCCTGCAATTTGAGCTGCTGGTGGCAGACCTTCACACCTGAGTGAAGCCCCACTGAAGTAAATGAAAGAAGACATGGGAGACACAGGCGGTTCACGGGGATCAGATGATGGGACTGGAGCCTCAGATTGCCAACTGCCCAGGCTTAGGTGCTTTTATTTCACTGAAGTTCTGCACAAAATCAGATCAATGCTCCAGAGGGGGAAAAAAAAAACCAACAAACATCAAACTCCATTAATTTTCTCATAGGATTTTCTCAAGGGCAATGTTTCACATTCTGCTCTACTACTGACACCAATAAGTTATGACAAAATTAAATGAGCCAGTCAGCTCTCAGCATAAACCTGGAATGATCTCTTAAATCTGCCGTTACAATGATACAAGTTATAAAGAAATATAATTAAACAAGAAGAATGTCTTAATAGATTCTACCCTGTATTTTTCTTAGATTACTATTTATAAATAATTTGTTGATTACAAGAAAAAAAATAGCATTTTACAAGGCCATCTCCAATGGTACCAAACAAATCAGCAAAATGTTAAACATATTTAGGAGATAGCTGTTTTTACCACATGGGAACAAATAAACAAACACACACACGAGGAGTTACCACAAAAGAGAATGAAATCTTCCACACAATACCAAAAAAGCAATATGAAACATTGGAATATTTTCTATAGTACCCCCCTTTCTCTAATCAATTTAGTCCTGTGAACACTGGGAAGCCCTATTACTTAATCACAATAGTTTTGTAATGTCAAGAACATATGGAACAAAATATTAAGCATGATTGATATAAACAAGTTCTGCCTGACTGGCATGGCTTCTTCCACATTATTAACACTAAATGGAAACTATCCATTTAAACACAAACTGAAATTGGCAAGTATAGTATGAGCAACAGACTAACTCATAAAATAAAAATAAAATAAAAAACCCAAGAAACTTTAAAGTACATCCCACTTAAATTCCCAATTCCTCTGCTTTCCAGAGTAAGCTTAGCCTTTTGTCAGCATAAACCCCAAAACAACAAAGGTGGTACTGAATTAACACTGGGAGAAAACACTGACTAAACTAACCCAAATCTAACACTTGACACTTGGGAATATTTTTTTTGCTAACCTTTCTGGTCTACACAAGTAATTTGATTTTGTCAAAATCCAGACCAACATCATTTAAAAATGGAAGGTACTTTATTTTTAAACTACAACTAAAATGCCTGTGCTTAATAAATCCTGGTCTCTGGTTAAAATGGAATATTAGAGCTTCCTTTTCAGAAGGTATTTTATAGGTCAGCTCTTTCCTAGGATTAATTTTATGATTTGAATACCTGAATGGTTTATAAACACTGTTAAAGGTTTTTCTTGTCCACCCTTTAAATTTTTCTAGTTCATTTTTTAACATAAAACTGCTAAAATTTCTTTCCAATTCCTTGCCATGGATTAAAGTTAATACTATAACATTGTTCACAAATGCATGTAGGTCTCAATGAAAAATGTTCAATTATCTACTTTGGAAGCAAACATGTACACATATTTTTCTTTGTCAAGGCACAACAGGTCGTATTTCTCACTTTTTAAAGACAACGTTCCAAAGAAAAAAAAAATCAGAATCCTATCTAGCATTCTATTATTTCAATAGTTTAAAGGAGTTACAGTAAATACAATGTGAGAGAAATCTTATTAAATAAAAAAAAAAAAAAAAAAATCAAAACACAGAAGGCCGTAAATCCAGCAAATTTATCTAGACATAGTTCTAGTGCTAGTATTACCTGTCAACATTAACTAATTATTAACTATAAACTGCTAGTTTCAGACAAGAGAAATACTTAAATACTTCATCCTGTCATTTCGGTGGTATTCCTTGCTTTCAGTTGTGTGCATTTCAAAAATTCTTTCTTGAGGTGGAATGTTGCTTTTGGACACTAACTGCAGAGTTAAACCACCCTTGTATATTACGTCTCAGTTCTTAAGAGAAAAACTTTTCTTACTTCAAAAAGCTTATATCCTTAGCTTTCCCCTCTCACCAGTAGTTCTTTTGCAAGGATCTCTCTAATTATTATTTTACCAGACAATAACATAATATCACTTAGTGCCTATATTATACAGAACTTCTCAGCCTCAAAGAGGTAAACAAAGATCATAAAAATTACTTCAAGTTTCCCCTTTTTTTGCTTCTTATGTATCTTTCTCGCCACTTCATGTTCCGATTCCTTTCTAATAAGCAGAGCTCAAAGAGGAAAAAAAAAATTACCAAAGAATTTGCCCCAAATCATCAAGCAGTCAACAATATCAACCATAAAAGTAACCCTACCTCTGAAGAATTTTTTTAAGAATGTATGAAGATCACTCAACAGTTGAAGACAGGAGCAGCAGATCTAAGCAGAATCAGGAAGCAACCGTTTGAAAGACCAGGGCTAGCTAGAGAAAAGTAAGCCAATAAGGAAAGAAACAGAAGCTTTCTCCCACCACCTTTGAAAAGAGAGGAAAACAGATGAGAGGGAAAAAATAACCAAGTGACTGAAAGAGATGGAGAAAGTCTCCTGCTATAAAGTGATCTTTGCATACAAGAACTCGCGGAACTAGTCAGCTGTTTCAGTAACAATTAAAAGAAGCAAGAATTAAAACATTAGCAGATCTGACTGCAGATATTAAAATCTACTGTTTGAACCTTCTCAAAGCAGTGTAATTTTTAAGGACTGCAGTGCAACTTCTCATTTATTATCAAAAATGCTGTATAAAAAAGTGCCATGAGAACTATGATAATCCAGTACGATTACACAACCTGAAAGGTATCCATTTCAAACCATAAACAAAATATATGTTACAAGTGGAAGAATGGAAGTCTGATGTTTTATTGCTTTTAAGCCTTCACTGACAGAAACAGTAGACACTGAAGGAACACAGTTCAGTCAGCATCAAAATAATTTTCCTAGAGAAATACAGAATCTATCTCTTTGGAAAGAGAGGCATTTTGAAAAAATTGAAACTGAAAATCTAGAAATCAGTCAGTTGGGGATTAACTTTTCATAAGCAGCTTCAAAATTGTATTTTTAAATGGCAAATAGTAATCATTAAAAATGTTAAATATTTCAACATCAGTGAATCAGACACAGCTATCTGTTAACATGCTGTTAATTATACTAATTATACTGGGTCACATCTTTGTGATATAGGTGAGGAAGTATTTCAGAGATCCCTGTTTGATAAATCCTTTTTCACTTACCAGTCTGAATGCACATACTGAGCAGAAGAAATACAGAGTAAGCAGCAAGGCTGGCAACAATCAGCAGCAAGATACTAAAAACACAAAACAGTCACAGTTACAGCACTTTCACAGGACAACACGCCTTCTATCTTTAAGAATGCTACTTCTGCAAGAAGTAAGCTACCACAAGACCAGATTTCCTCATTTTATGTTGTATATATCTGCTGACTGTGGTTCATATGGTCTCTGACGTTCCCAATACTTGCCAAGTTCCACTGCTTCTTACATTGTTCACCAAAGCACATCACACACTCTATGGGGTAAAGGCCTGATATATGAGTCACAAAGAGGACATAAACATGAGTTTGTGCTTATACATATAAACAGACAAATATGTATCTTCTAATGAAGTTACTCTAATGATTCGAATGTGGTAAAAGCAACGATTCCGTTGACTTTGGCCCTGTTATCCATAGGTTAGTATGTACAACAAGAAAAAGTGCAAACAAAAGCACAAGCTGATACACATTTTTCAGATAGGTAGCCACGCTGCTTCCGAAGGCCCATTTCTGGAACTAAAGATAATAGCAGCTTTGAAACATAAACATCAATCTATTAGGAGTAATGACCAAGAAATTGCCACCATGTGGCAATTTAATGCAATGTCTGGGCAGTACTTACATTAGGCCAGATTTGAATGACTAAACCAATGAGGAAAAATCTTATTCGACAATGCTGAAAAGCACAAGCTATTTATTTCTTCCTCAGTTTTTGCACAGGAGACTTAGTAATCAAGTTTTGTTCCATTTAAAACTACAAGCTGAGTTTCAAATTAAGCACATGTAAAAACTGAAAACTTACCTAAACCCCATGATCCCTGTGTTGGCCATAGCATAGGATAAGCCAAGTATCCCACTTCCCATGATTGCATTCATTAAATTAAACACTGAGAAACCAAAGGAAGAGCCGCGATCCGGCAGATTCTGTGAAAAGGGCAGAACAAAGTGCAGTCAGTGCGAGAGGTGTTTTGGTCTTTCATAGGAAGAAATTTAAAGAAGGGCAAAAGACAGTCAACTTCTCCTTCCCAAATCTAAATCATAAAATCTATTTTGTCACTATAAGACCACCGTTTTACATATACTCTAACGCTATGCAGTCCCATAAGGATCTCACGACGTCTACAACCTTGGAGTACAGCGATACTAGAGAGCAGCAAGATTTATGCTTAAAAGGCGGCTACCCCGGGTGCCTCCAACAGGCGCGGGGCCCGAGCACACGGCAGCATCCCTTAACCAAAGAACCCAACGGACCAGAAGAAGCGCCAGGACCACACGTTCAGGACCAGGGGCCCAGCACCGCCCCATGCTCCCGCGCCCCAGCCCGGCCCTTCCCGCTGCCCTCGCCGAGTGTCACCCCCGGGAGCCGCCTCGCACAGCCCCGTCCCCCCTCCGCCAAGCCGCATCCATTAGTCCGAACTTTGAGCCCAGGTCCCCCGTGTCCCCCCCCCGCGCCCGAACTCCTCCTCAACACCCAGCGCGGCCGGG